TCACGAGGTCAGGAGTTCGAGACCAGCCTGGCCAACATGGCGAAACCCCGTCTCTACTAAATATACAAAAATTAGCTGGGTGCAGTGGTGGTGCCTATAGTTCCAGCTACTCGGGAGGCTGAGGCAGGAGAATCGCTTGAACTCAGGAGGCAGAGGCTGTGGTGAGCAGAGATGGCACCACTGCACACCAGCCTGGGCAACAGAGTGAGACCCCATTTCAGGAAAAAAAAAAAAAAATTTGGGGAAAATCAGGAAGAAAGGTTTCTCAGCAATTAATTTAGAATATTTCAAATCGAAACCCATTTTTTTAGAGTAGAGGAGAGAGCACCAGCAGCATTACATTTTGTCAACTATCTAGTAACAGTGATATAGAAACTCCCAGGGCAGACCATGCAAATCCAAGGTTCAGGCTAGTGCTGTTGCTTTAGAGATCACCTGTGCACCCTTTCTTCAAACAGCCATTGCTCTGGAATCTTAAGTCAACAACAGTTATTGTAGAGAGGGACGAACAGCTGAAGACAGAGCGTTGAGACCAACCCTCAGGAATTTTAAATCTTCTTATTTATGTGCATGGCCTACTTTTCATAAATGAAAGCTTAATGCTTTTGAGGTGGACCAGATGTGTTTGGTGCTTGTAGCTTTAGTAGGTGGAAGGGTTTTATTTTGTCCCCCTTTGGTAATCAAGTCCCAGAACCTCATCTGTAGCCCCAGTTAACATTAACTGCTTGGCATTCCAACCAGAGCTGGAAAGTTCCCTCAAAAGACTCACGTGTGGGACAGAATGAGGTGGAAGATATCAGAGGCAGAGCAGTCCCACGTCACATGCCCTGTTGCTCTGCCATACGTCCAGGGGTGTCTGATCTTTTGGCTTACCTGGGCCACACTGGAAGAATTGTCATGGACTACACATAAAATACAGTAACACTGGCCAGGTGCGGTGGCTCACTCCTGTAATCCCAGCACTTTGGGAGGCCGAGGTGGGTGGATTACTTGAGGCCAGGAGTTCAAGACCAGC